CTAGGAGAGTTAGCCGGTGGTGCAGGCCCAGGGAAGCAGAGCGAGGTGAGGGCGGGGCCAGGACCAGAAGTGGTGCTCCTGGAGCCCAAGAAAGGGACTGAGTTGCTCTGGGTGAGAAGGATCAGTAAGCAGTATTGGTTCCCCAGGTGTCTGGGGCCCCAAGACTAGGAATGGCGCAGGGCCCAAATTAGGAGTACGGCGAGGCGGTGGGGATGGAAGGGTGAATGTGGCTTAGGGAGTCCCAGCGCGGAGAGCTGCGCTGTAGACTTACCCCAAGAGGCCTGAGGATAGTAGTCCTGGGTACTCTTTTTCCAATTGCTTATTATTGGTATTGGTATTATAGAAAGGCTGCTGGTTTCTCTAGATTTATTTTGTAACCTGTTACTTTGCTAAAAGTGTTAATCATTTCTTTCTGGTGAAATTTTTGGGATCTCTTAGGTATAATATATTATCTACAAATCGGGATAATTTGGCCACTTCTTTTCCAATTGCTACTCCTTTAATTTCTTTCTCTTGTCTTATTATTGCTCTAACAAGAGTTTCAAGCACTATATTAAAAAGGAGTGAAGACTGTGGACAGCCTTGTCTGGTTCCTGATTTTATTGGGAATGTTTCTAATTTTTCTCCATTTAGAATGATGTTGGTCATTGTATTGTTGTATATAGCTTTAATTATGTTGAGATAAGCTCCCTCCAGTCCACTTTCCTCTGCTTCTTTTTGAATAATTTAAGTAGCATTGGTTAGACATCTATTTTTAAATGTCTTGTATAATTCTTCTATGAATCCATCTGGATTCTTTTAGTTGGAAAATTTTATATTACTGTATCTATTTCCTTATATGTTGTGGGTCTGTTTAAACTGTTGATCTTTTCTTGGCTTAGCTTTGGTGGTTCCTGTGATTTTAGATATACATCCATTTCTTTTAGGTTTTCAAATTTAATAGAATATAGGCTTTTAAAGTATTCCTTTACGGTGCTCCCTTCAGCGGCACATATTCTAAAACTGGAATGATACAGAGATTAGCATGGCCCCTGTGCAAGGATGACACCCAAATTGGTGAAGCGTTTTTTGTTGTTGTTGTTGTTGCCACATGTATTTGATGGCTTGAAATGCTTTGAGTCTTGGTTTGACATCACCAGTCTTTCTGAAATTGCTGAAGATATAGCGAAAGAAAGAGGACAGAATGTTTTACATATGCTGCACCAGATTCTGATGCTTTTCTTACTGAGAAGACTAGAATCTGATATTACTCTTGAAGTTCCTCCTAAATGAGAAGTAGTTGTTTACACGTCTCTTTCAAACAAACAAGAGATGTTTTATACAGCCATTGTGAATTGTACAATGTTTGGATCTTGTGAGAAAGAAACAGTTGAGCTATCTCCTACTGGTTGACCAAAACAGTGAAGTAGAAAATAAATAAATTACAGCCAAATAATAATGATGAATTCCCCAATGAACTAGAAAAACTAATAAGTCAAATACAGTCAGAGGTAAATAGAGAAAGAACTGTGGCAGAAGTGAATGTTCTTGTAGAATCTAAAGTTAATCTAAAGCTGCAGAATATAATGATGCATCTTGGCAAGTGTTGCAATCATCCGTATCTGATTGGATGCCCTACAGAGCCTGTCACACAAGAGTTTAAGATTGATGAAGAATTGGCCACAAATTCTAGGAAGTTTTTAATTTTGGATCAGATGCTGCCAGAACTTTAAGAAAAAGGTCATGCTGGGCAGAGACAGAGGCAGGGGGATCTCTGTGAGTTCGAGGCCGGCCTGCTCTACATAGTGATTTCCAGGACAGCTGGGACTAAAGGGAGATCCTGTCTTAAAAAGACAAACAAAACAAAACAAAAAAACCACAAGGTGCTGGTTTTTCACAAATGACAAGAATGTTGGACATTTTGATGGATTTCTGTCAGCTTAGAAATACCACCTTTAGCAGGCTTGATGGGTCCATGTCTTATTCAGCAAGAGAAAAAAATATCTACAATTTCAACATGGATCCAGATGTGTTTTTTTCTTAGTGAGTACATGAGCTGGTGGCTTAGGCATTAATTTGACTGCAGCAGATACAGTTATCATTTATGACAGTGATTAGAATCCCCAATCTGATCTTCAGGCCCAGGATAGATGTCAGAATTGGTCAGACAAAGCTGGTTGTTGTATATTGCCTTGTAGCAGCAAATACTGTTGATCAGAAAACTGTGGAAAGAGCAGCTGCTAAAAAAAAAAACAGGAGAAACTGATCATCCATAAAAGTCATTTCAAAGGTTGTCAGTCTGGATTAAATCAGTCTAAGAATTTCTTAGATCCTAAGGAATTAATGGAGATTATGAAAGGGAAATTAAAGGATCAGAAGAGGTCATTGATGATAAAGATCTAGAGTTAGATCGAAGTGATCTCCTTGATCAAATGAAGGCCTCAAGATCAAGTAAAGAGAAAACAGGGATATTGAAGATACTAGAAAATTCTGAAGGGTCCAGTGTCGAATGTTTGTTTTAAACTGGAGCTAAAAATTTGCTTTTAAAAATTCTTGTTTATATCTATCTGGTAACTTACCTATTGGTTTTGAGGTTTTGGTTGTTAGCCTTAGCCTTTAACGGCTGTGCTATCCCTCCAGCCCTACCTATTGGTTTTGAAATCCAGATTGTTCACTTTATGTTTTTTGGATTGTATCAGTTTATATAATGTAACTAGTAATGTTACATGCATAAAGTTATAATTTCCTGAGTTTCATTAAGCACAAAATGGCTATTAAATTTAGATTTTCAATAATTTTTTGAGCTTGGGTAGTACTTTTGAGTATTGTCCAATATGTACTTAACCATTGGCAGTCTTCCTGTAGAAATTTAGTAAATGTTTTTCCCTTACTTATAGTAATGTAATTCATGTGGTTTTGGTACCTCATTTGGTCTTTTTGAGACACAGTCTCCCTGTGGCCCCAGCTGTCCTGGAACTCACTATGTAGACCAGGCTCAGCTTGAACCCACAGAGATCCGCCTGCCTCTGCCTCCTGAGTGCTGGGATTAAAGGCGTGCACCACCATGCCCAGCTTGAGTAGGTTTTTGATACTAGTGATTGACTGAAATTGTACTTTCTGTTACCGAAGTAAAAAATTGTGAGTCAATAAGATGGTTTACCAAATAAATGTTTGTTATAATAAAAAATTCCCTATAATATTCTGGACCTTTTTGATGTCTGTTGTGATGGTGCCCCTCTCATCTCTGATTTTGTTGATTTGGATTTGCTCTTTCTTTCTTTTGTTTAACCTGGCTAAGAGTCTGCCTATCTTGTTTGTCTTTTCAAAGTACCAGCTCTTAGATTAATTGATTCTTGTATTGTTTCTTTTTTATTTTGTTTGTTTCTCTTTTATTAATTTCTGCTCTGATTTTTTTTTTTGTTATTTCTTCTCATTTACTAGATTTGGATTTGGTTTGTTCATGCCTTCCAGAGTCTTGAGTTGTACTGTTAAGTCATTTATATGTGCTCGTTCTAATTTTTAATGTAGGCACTTATAGCTATTAACTTCCCCCTTAGGGCTGCTTTTAAAGTGTCCTGGAGACTTTTTGTGTTGTATTATCCTTTTCATTTTGTTCCAGGAATACTTTTATTTCTTTCTTAATTTCTTTGACCCATTTACCATTCAGGAGTGTGTTGTTTAATCTCCATGAGTTTGTGTAGTTACTAGAGCTTCTTTTGGTGTTGATTTTAAGCTTTGTTGTGTTGTGGTTTGATAAAAAACATGGAATTATTTCAATTTCTTTTGTATTTGTTTTGTATCCCAGTATGTGGTCAGTTTTAGAGAGGGTTCCATGGGGTGTTGACTAGAATGTGTGTTCTTTGATGCTTGGGTGGAATATTCAGTAGATGTCTGTTAGGGTCATTTAATGTATGGTGTCATTTAATTCAGATGTTTCTGTGTTTATTTTCTGCTGGTTGACCTATCTATTAGAGATAGTGAGGTATTAAAGTCCCCTACTGTTACTGAGTTGGACTTTTTATCTTAAAGTCCTGTAGTACTGTTTTTATGAAATTGGGTGCACCAGAGTTTGGTGTATATTTGTTCATGATTGTAATATCTTCTTGGTCAATTGTTCCTTTGATCAGAATGAAGTGGCCTCTTTATCTCTTCTGATTAGCTTTAGTTTGAAGTCTACTTTTCAGATACTAGAAATTCAGACCCTGCTTGTTTCTTAGTGCCATTTGCTTGGAATATTTTTTCCCATCCTTTAACCTTAAAGTAATTCCTATCTTTGAAGGTGAGATGAGTTTCTTGAAGACAACAAAAAGATGGGTTTAGTTTCCTAATCCATTCAACTAGCCTGAGTCTTTTGACTGGGGAGTTCAGGCCATTAATATTATTGTTGAAAGATGTGTATTGATCACTGTCATTTTAATTTCTGTTTGCATTCTTGGTCCAATTTTGTGTTTCCACAATTATCCTTTCATTTGGTTTCTTTCTGTTGCCTCTTGGGTATAGTCATTCCTTTTTTAGTCCTTTGTATTGATTTGAGCATTCACTGAAGTGCTGGTTTGGTGGACATGAATTCTCTCTGTGTGTGTGTGTGTGTGTGTGTGTGTGTGTGTGTGTGTTTGTGTGTGCGTGTGATAGAAGATTTTTCTTTCCTCTTCAACTATAATAGACAGTTTTGCTGGGCAAAGTATTCTGGGTTGGCATCTATGGTGATTTAGAACTGGGAATACTTTGATCCGGGCCCTTCTGGCTTTCATCATTTACATTGAAAAGTCAGCTGTGATTCTGATGGGTTTTCCTTTATTTGTGGCTTGCTTTTTTCTCTTGTAGCTTTCATTCTCTCTTTGTTCTGTACGTTTAGTGTTTTTGCTATGATATGCCATGGAGAGTTTCTTTCCTGGTCATGTCTATTTGGTGTTTTATGAGCTTCTCACATTTGTATGGTTATATCTTTCCTTAATTTGGGGAAATTTTCTTCTACAATCCTGTTAAATATCTGGTCAATACCATTATCCTGTGATTCTTCTGCTTCTTGTATGCCTTCGATATGTAAATTTGGTCTTTTCATGGTGTCCCACATTTGCTTCATACTCCATTCCTGTGTTTTTAAAAATTTCTTCATATTCTTTGCTTGAGCAGCTGCATTCTTCAGCTTTATCATTCAGTCTTGACATTCTGCTTTCCATTTCATTCGTTCTATTGGTGAGGCTTTCTCATGTCATTTCAAATGGACTTTTTGAGTTTTTTCACTCCATTCTTCATGTCAATCTGAGTTTTCTTCAATATTTCTATCTCTTTTGTGAATTCAGTCAGAAGTTTATCCCTTCTTTTACTTTTTAAGTTGTTTGTGTGTTTTTTAAATGCATTGAATTCTTTGATCATGTTTTTTTATTGTTCTTTTAAATTCTGTGTCCTGGATTATCTCTAGGGGGTTCTCATTGTAGAACTCTTCTGTAAGATTGGTGGTTTTGGTGGGAACATATTATTTTGGTTTTTCACATTATTATTTTTTCATTGTGGTTATGAAATGTGGATTTCTTTTGTTGCTTGTGATTCTGGTCTGAACCGCAAGCCTTCTTTTGTTGAGTTGAAGTTTGATTCTGTTTGTATTACTGATATACCTTGGTTGCTTTCTGATTGGGTATGAAAAGCTGGTTGGTTTAGGCTTCAGGTTCTCTCTTTTCATTTTATATTGGAGCGACCAGATAGCTCTATTCAGGCTACTCATGAGCTCTCCTGGAGGACAACGTGGCCCTGGCTAGTTAGGAGCACTTCAAATGCCTCAGATGGGTAGTGCCAAGATCCAAGGAGATGAGATGGGGGAAGGAAGTGCTGGCTCCTGCTAGTCAGTGGAGAAGTCCAAGTTCTGGGGCAATGGGATGGACTGTACATGGTCCCAGAGTAGTGGGATGGTCACAGCTAGATTTAGGAAGCTTACCACATGGAGGCCTGAGTCAGGTACTCTCAGGCAGTCTCAAAATGTCTGGGCTCTTACTAGCCAGAGAAACCTGATCCTGGGGTAGTGTGAGGTCCCAAAGAAGGCCCTGGACAGTAGTGGTCCAAAAGTAGGGGGATAGGCATGGTGGGATTTGGGAATCTCACT